TTTCTGTATCTTCCCCCCTCCCTCCCTTGTTCCCTCTCTCTCCCCCATCCTTTCTCTTTCTTTCTCTCTTCTCCCTCCCTCCCTCATTCTCCCTCTCTCTTCCCCCTCCCTCCCTCATTCCCTCTCTTCCCTCCCGCTCTGTGTGTGTGTGTGTGTGTGTGTGTAGTTCAGAGCACAATGCTGGATGTTGATCCTCACCTGCCACCTTATTTGAGACAAGCCCTGTCTTGTTTTCATGTTTGTGTACACCAGGCTAGCTGGCCCATGAGCTTCCATGGATTTTCCAATGTCTCCTTAACAGCACCGGAATTACAGATATGCTGCTGTGTCTGACTTTTATGTGGGTTCTAGAGACCCTGGACCCAAAGTTTTTAGCTTGTACAGTGAGCCCTTTTCTTACTGAGCCATCTCTCTGGCCCATAGCATAGTTCTTTTTGAATCCAGGGGAGACTCTTTGGGATGTAATGACAGCAGTCGGTAAGGTTGCTGGTATATGGACTGGACAATAGTGCTGTCTACACAGAGTCAGGGGAGGGTTGTGGGTTAGACGAAGTCTCACACCTAAATGGATCGTGTCTTCAGGGTCTGAGATATGTACGTTGTTTACTTTCTGAATGCAATGGAGTGTCATTTAGAATATATATATCTAAAATCTATCTGTATATACTCTTCTAATAAGCTTAGTAACCTTAAAAGAGGCAATATATAGTTTCATGCATTTTCCTCTGTTAACTGGATGTTTTGTGATATTGTCAGTCTTTTCTAAATCTGTGTTATCTTAGCACCAGACACACAATTGTGCCCCATATTACATATACTGCTTCTTCTCTACACACAGCTATTATGGAGCTGAATTCAAATAACATAGCAGGAGCTGGGGATTAGCAACAACAATTACCAACACAGTGACACAAGTTACTTAAAACTCTATAATTGCCCATTTTGGGGATTTTTCTACTTAGCATTTTTGTACTGTGGTGGACTGTGGTAATGAAACCTTGGAAAGTCAAGTTGTAGTCACAGAAGGGCTACTTTATCCCTCCTTGTGTATAAAATCCTCACAGTACCACACCGTCACTGCTTTCTTTCTGGGAAATGTTACTTGTCATATCTTTTAGTAAATTAGTTTCCACTGGAGAATCTCACTTTCTACTGCTGATAAAAAAAAAAAAAGTGACTAGTTTAAAACAGTACTGTTGTCTGATACTTCTAGAAGTCAGAAGTCTAAAATCGCTCTCACTGGACTAAAGTCAAGGCACTAGCAAGCCTGGCTCCTTCCCAAGGCTGCAGTGTTCTAGCCTCTTCTGCCGACTAGGTGAACCCACACCCTGTCTCATGCCAGCTCCTGGTGTCACTCCAACCTCCTGCTCCTACTGCCACTTTATCACCCAGTCACTGTGCATCCTTTGGGATGACACTTCTGAGCCCATCAGACCAGCACCGATAATCCAGGACAATATCTCCATCTGAGGATGTTAAATCACACTTGAGAAGTCTCTTACACTGTGGATAATAGGCAGAGGCTCTGGGGTTTTGTATATGGAGGGCTATCACAAGAACATCCTTATTCTTTTGGTAAAATGTTCGATGTCACTTTAAAGACATGTATAGATATTTATATAAACCACATGTTTTACCCACTTAGAGGCTATTTCCAGGGCTCTTAATTCCCTTTTAGAAACAAGTTTTCACCCAATATCTTCCTTTTGCTGAAAGGAACACATTATTTCTCCTCATACAGGTCTATGCCTGGTGAGTTTTTCAGCTTTGGAATAATAGAAAGGCTTCATGTCACAATTACTTTTGAGAGATAGTTTTGCTGGTTATAGAATTTTACATTAACAGACTTCTTTCTTTCAATACTATAAGAGACTGCTCTCTACTCTGTAACTGTTTGCATTGCTTCTAATAAGCAATATACTCACTGAAAACTTGTCTTTAATTACCTGGCTGATTTTTAAGGTTTTTATCTTTAGTACTGCTTTTGTATTAATTACACTTATTCATTTATTTGTATAAGTATGTGTGCATTTGAACATTCTGGAGAAGGTTCTCTCCTACCAGTGTGGGTCATGGAGAAGAATTTAGGCCATAAGATTTGGCAGCAAGTTTCTTTACCTACTCAACTTTCTTGCTGGAATCTACTACTACTTTAAAATAATTTAATCATGATAAATGTTGGTCTGGATTTCCTTGTTTCTTATATTTGGAGTCCACTCACCTTCTTTGACCTGTTGTCTGAGTGGTTTCATCGAATTTGGCAAGTTTCAGCCATTTGCCAATTTCACCTTCTACACAGCCACGGGGCTCCTCTACCTATTTCAGACCTCTCAGTCACTGAAGATCTTGGCTGTTTGATAGCTAGTGTCTTGAAAGCTCATCATTTTATATGCTTTGTTTTAAATTATTTCAAATGGGAGAGGAAGCAGTCAGTTAAAAAAAAAAAACCAGTAAGCATCTGGAAGCAGGGTTTTCCTAGAAGGAGTCTGGTAAGGTAACAAAGAGTATAATCTCAAATACGGTGCTTGGGACAGGCCTCATTGAAAAGGTAACATTTAAAACTGAAACATTGAGAAGGTAACATTGAAAACTGAAACAAAAACTAAAAGAATGAGTAGTTTAGATAACCAGGTGGCGGGAAGGGCTCAGAGCAGCTGGATGTGTCTTTGCCATGAGCTTTCTGGTGGACTCCAGAGAGAGCAGGAAGGGCACGCCAGAATAGAGGAGACGAGTGGGACCAGGACCTGGTGAACTGGATGGGCACTACCAGTAGTGAGAGAGCACTCAACAGCACTTAGCTTATGCTCCAGGCAGGAGAAAAGACAGACACGGATGCTGACTGTTGCACTACTGAGTGTTGTCAGAGCACAGACCTCTGAAGCAGGGAGTGGAAGGCTGAGGATGCAGTGACTTAAGAGTCCAGAATCACAGTACTGTTCCGGCCTCCATTTGACAAGGCGATGTACCTAGGCTCAGGGCACCATACCTCACGTTCTCAGCATTTCAGGTATCCCAGAGAAGCATGGGCCTTCTGACATGTGTTCCCCAGAAGGAGAAGAGTATAACTGGGACACTATATACTGGGTGAACAGTCACCTGCAGCTCACTTCCAGATTCCCCAATCACTAAATCACCAGACAGGAATGATGACCAGTGGTAGCTGTGGCTAGCAGCTACCAGTGCCTGCCACTAGGCTACCCTCTCCTCCACTCACATATAGTTACCTCATCTAGTGACAGGCTAGAAGATGCCAATTTAATGTGATCTATTTCCTGATGATTCTACTGAGGAAAAAACTACCAGGGAGCATGAGCTGCAGCTGCTGGAGGAAGCCACGTCCTGCCTTGACAGAATTTACAGGGTATGCATCTTCAGGGTATGCATGGGGATTCTGAGCATATAGGGCAGTGGTTCTTAACCTTCCTAATGCTCAGGTCCTTTAATATAGTACTTCCTGTTGTGGTGACCTCCAACCATAAAATTATTTTTCTGCTACTTCATAACTGTAATTTTGCTACTGTTATCAATTGTAATGTTAAGTATCTGATATACAGGGTATCTGTACTAGCTGATTTTGTGTGTGTGTGTCAACTTGACACAAGCTGGAGTTCTCACAGAGAAAGGAGCCTCCCTTGAGGAAATGCCTCCATGAGATCTAGCCATAAGGCATTTTCTCAATTAGTGATCAAGGGGGAAAGGGACCACTGTGGGTGGTGCCATCCCTGGACTGGTAGTCCTGGGTTCTACAAGAAAGCAAGCTGAGGAAACCAGGGGAAGCAATCCAGTAAGTAGCACCCCTCCATGGCCTCTGCATCAGCTCCTGCCTCCAAGTTCTTGTCCTGTGTGAGTTCTTGTCCTGACTTCTTTGGTAATGAACAACAATGTAGAAGTGTAAGCTGAGTAAGTCCTTTTCTCCCCAACTTGTTTCTTGGTCATGTTTTGTGTAGGAATACAAACCCTGACTAAGACAGTGTCTGACATGCAACCTCTGTGAAGAGGCCTTTGACACCCTTCCCTCCAGAGGGTCATGACCCACAGGTTGAGAACCACTGTTCTAGGAGAAGGCAGCTGCAATGCAGAGCTAATCTTTCATCAAACTGTCCTCTGTGAACAAATGATGCTATTGAGCCAAGAGAATCTCAGGTGGTCTTTTCCCTGGGGTCTGTCTTTAAGTGATGCCAGCTTTCTGTAGCTCCTCCAGTAAGGGACACATCAATGCTTCCCTTTCTCTGACTATGCATTTTCTTTCCTCATCTGTTAAAGTTGAACTCAAAAGCTTTGCCTGGAGTGTTGTAGCAGTTGGGGTTTTGTGTGAAAATCCAAGGAAAGTGTCCAATCTGGGAAACTGTGAGTATAAGTGTGTCCCTTTATCTGTCAGCTCACTCTGCAAGATTGTGCAGTTACCTCGCAGGACCGGAAAACCACAGGAAATGGGTAACCAATCAGCTTCTGTCTAGTCCCTGACTCACCCAATCCTATGCTGGTTGGGGCAGCTCTGCCTGATTCACTTTATCCCCTGGGTCAAATCCTTTGGGGACTAAGTAACCCCTGTGTCCAGGTCTTGGTGGATACGCTTTCCTTCTCCACTCCAGATTTTAGCCCTCTTCCTTATCTGGGCAGGATTTGAATCTGGTGACATCATACCATTTTTTAAGAAGTGTGACTAGATTTCTTTTGTCCTAAAGATATCATGCCCAAACACCAGGCTACGAGTGTCAGTAGCCTCAAAACATCTCCTTCAGAGTGAGCCATGCACAGAGCTGTGAATGGACAGATGTTTGCAAAAGTATGTGGGGGGTGTTTTCATAGCTGGTTATATGGGGTACACCTGTGCAAGTACTGTGAGGATGTGTACACATGGGCATATCCTCCTGCCTGTGTATACACACAGTCACATGCGTGGCTATGTCTGAAACATCCATGACCTCCAGAATCCAGACCTTCAGAGGGACTACTGAGCTTGTGCCTCTTCCTAAGTCTGCCCTTCCCTCCTTCCTTACCTCCATGTTTTTGCAGAAGGTAGCATTGGTGCCAAACAGAATCTGGCACTGCTCATTGGCGCTGTAGTGCATGCCTGGCAGCTTGTGGGGAAGGCGCAGGGCATGCTGGCTCCTGGGGTCAGTGATCAGTAAACATGTACTGACTTTGGATCTGAAAAAGCCAAGAAGCAGGTCAGTCTCTAGAGTTTTCAGCTTCTGAAAAGGATGTGCCTTGGATGACTCATGAGACAATGGCCTTAGCACTGGGCACCGGGGATTACCCTTTTAATGTGTGAGTTCTTTTACTATATGGCTAAATGTAGGTCTCTTCTCTGAAGACAACACAGAACTGACCACTTGGTAGAACCCTAGAAACAGATCTGATGAAGCAAGTGGACTTTCTTAGGAGAAAGTTTTCTCCTAAGAAAGTTTGATAAAGTGCTTTTTGAAATTAGAATACTTTAAATTGTCCTAGAAAATGTCTTTGAGTAAAAGTTACCATGAATAAAAAGATCACAAATTAAGGTTATTTAATTTTAAATAAACCCAAGTGCTAAATTCTGACAGCAATCTTTGTGGGATTGCTGGGCCAGAGCAAGTACGTCAGATTTGATGTCTTGCTCTCTCATGCCTCCTGCTATTGCAGAAGACAGGCCAGGGGCTCACTCTGCCAAGAACTCCCACATTTCAAACAGGAAGAGAATGTTCACTTGCAGTGGGATATACATTTCCCCAAAGGAGGCTGCTAGCAGATAAAATGCACAGCGCTTTTGTTTTCTAACCATAAAGCAAGGCAGTTGAAACCAGAAGCTTGCCAAAACCCTTGAAGGAAAGAATGTAATTCATCTATCTATCTATCTATCTATCTATCTATCTATCTATCTATCTATCTATCTATCTTTAGCTGAGGCTAGTCCACAGCTTCCAGGATCCACTAGAAGCCATTTGTCACCAGTGAGAGCAGCACTATGCACTGGAGCAAATGTAAAGCATACCATCTTGTCACTCTGACCCTTCTGGGTGATATGGCAAAACATCAAGTGGCTGACAATACTTTATTAGGAGTCAGTAATTATAATACTCAGTGGAAGTAGACTATCTTAAAATGAGTAAGTTCATTTCTAAGCCTATTTACTAAACAACTTTTCCATCCACAGGAAACAAGTAGAAGCCTCTTTAACTACTTTAGCCCACATGCTCTGGGTATTGTCAAATAGAGCTGGTCTATCAAACTCCACCCTCCAGTGAAACTCACTGACATCACTTCTGTTTCCACTTCATGTGGATGGTGGATTAACATGGTGAAGTAGGGAAGCAATCAGGATCCATAAATTAACATTGTAAACACAGCCCTAAGATCAGGCAACAGGGACCATGGGTAGGTACGCTTGCTTTAACGTGGGTCAAAAGCTAGACTAGAAGGTGTTCCACAAAAACCTGAGAACTAAGAAGTATAAACATTCTCTAGGAAGAAAGAGCTAGTGAGAGAAGCACACCCCTTCCTCCATAAAGGAGGCAAGTGTGCAAACCTATCCCCAGCAAATTCAATCCCATCAAAGGAAGCAGCGTCAGCAAATAGTATACAGTTCTATAGCAGCCAAGTTGTCCCTACAGTGGTGGCCACGGTTACAGATGGGCAGAGAAGGGCAAGACAGTCACTGGGTCGATAGTTCATTCAACCATCCATTTAATGATCCCCCATTGGACACACAACATAATACGACCTCAGGAAGAGGCCTTTGTCCATCATAGGACACCTTGCATTGAGCATGTTCCAAGCCAGATGAGAATTCACCCACAGACTCATTTCTCATACTGGCTGAGTTGTTCATCTTGGGTCTTCTGGAGAAACATTCTGTTGTTGATGTTACAGAATGTGCTCAAGTACTTACTTGAGAAAGTTCTCAAGGTCATCTCGACTGCAGGATGACCAGGAGAGGTCGCTGGGATTCCGGCCTTTCACCCACTCTCCCGACATGATGTGTGACCGGCCAGCACATGATGAGTGGTCATCATCGTGGTTCATTCCCAGGCTGTTCGAAGGGAAAGAGGAAGAGTGTGAGATGCTACACCTCACCATGCCTCATTTCAAGGCCCTGGGTCAAGTTTAAGTGAGGTTTAAAGAACAAGGAGTGATGTCGGTAGGGTGACAATGTTCTCACACTATAGACCACAGTCAGGAGTTTATCAGAAGATGAGGTGGCTTGACTACAGGATGTATGAAGACTGAGCAAAATGACATTAATAATCAGTAAATGAATGCTGGCCTCTATCTCTTACAGCGTTCTTTGCAGAGCTCCAGAGGCTGTCAAATTGAGAGCCTCCTCCTTCTTAACCCTGCCCTCAGCACGGCTTCCCCAGAGGCTGGCCTCTAGTAAGCACTGGTAAATATTTACCAAGTGGATGACCTGTTTGATACCACACAATGTGCCCCAAATATCAGATGCTTTATCTTTGTGTCAGGTGTGCTCACAGGATGAGAGCCGCCTCTGGCTGGATAATCTCCATCTCCCTGGGTGGGCATCACTCTCCCAAATGTTAAAGGTCAAAGGGAAGCCTGGGAAATGATTGAATAATCCTGTCCAATGAGAATGACTCGAATATGGTTCTACGGTGATTTAGACGTATAAAGTGAATTCTCTCTTTCCATGTATCTCCTCTGTTTTTCTTTTCTCCGTTTTTAACAAGTTTTTCCGTTTGATGGGCAACAGAAAGCATTTATCTATCAATACACAGGAAAGCAACTTTCAAATAACGTTTCACTTAATAGGCTTATTTCTTCTTGAGGTTTACTTTTTATGTTTTTGAAACATGATCTCATAACACTGGCTGGCCTAGAACTCATTCTATAGGCCAGTTCTGGCCTTGAACTCACAGAGATCCACCTGCCTCTGCCCCACCAAGTGCTTGGATTAAAGGTGCCCAACACCATGCCCTGACTAAAACCAATAAACTTGAGATGATTTTATTTTACGTTTACTGGGTTTGAGCTCAGGGCATTGTACAATGGACAATGTGGTATCCTAAGTTTTCTAAACTTCTTTATTTACTTACATTTCAGATGTCATCCCCTTTTCCCAATCCCCCACCCCAGAAAACCCTTACCCCATCCTCCCTCCTCCTTTACGCTTTTATACCATTTTAATTACATGCAAGTATTAAGGTCAGTTCTAGGCTGAGGAACTAGCAATACAATAGATGCAAATAGTCAAGGAACAAGCAAGACAGTAAACACCAATAGTCAAAGAACAAGCAAGGCAATAACAAAGTCTCGTGATCACTGTTTCTAAGGGCTTATTCTTGTTCTAAGTTCCTGGGTATTCAATCTCATAGTGTTAATTACATTCACGGGTTATGATTGGCTCTCAGACTTTACCTTGCAGCCAAATGCAAGGCTTGTCTCTGCACTGACCACTTCATTCTTACATCATAAGTGAACCATACAGTATTTTCTTCCTGTGATTGGGTCATTTCAGAAGGTTCACAACCTTCCTAACGATGTAACCCTTTAATAGAGTTCCTCATGATGTAGAACCCCCAACCACACATTTATCTTTATTGCAACTTCATAACTGTGATTATTATGAATTGTAACGTAAATATCTGGTATGCAGGATATTTGATATGCAACCCTCCAAAGGGGTTGCAACCTACAAGTTGAGAAACATTGGCTTAGCATAATATGAGAGGTTTACTTACAAAATACATATGCAAGTTCTATAAGTCAATTGTAAAAAAAAAAAATCCCCTAATAACCTGAATTTGAAATGCAGGCCAAAGACTTGAACAGCCATTTCTCCAAAGATGATGTACAAAAGTCATCAGGTCTGTGAAGAAGATGCTCTTGATGTCACCTGATTTACATGAGGAAGATGCAAACTACCCCACAGGGGGCTTTCACTTATGCCTGTCGTGATGAGGCCAGTGCCTACAATGATGTGGGGTGCTTGAAATCCTGTACCTGATGGTTAGGATGCAAGTCAGAGTAACTTCTGTTGTGGAAAACATCATGGAGGTGTCTAAAAAAAAATAAACACAGAACTACAAAACTAGTGTACGATCCAGCAATTTCATTTTTGGGTATTTCTCCAAAGGAGTAAAATTCAGATCTCAGAGATCTGCACTCTCATATTTGTTTTGGTACTGATGACAGCCGCTAACCTGGAAACCGCCTAAATGTCTCTGCAGGTTGTCTTTTTGCCTATGTGACACAAGTTAGGACATCTGGTAAAAGGGGACCTCAGATGAGAAAAATGCCTCCATCAGATTGGACTGTGGGCAAACCTGCGGTGCATTTTCTTGATGGATGTGGCCCAGTTCACTGTGGTTGATATCACCCCTGAACAGGTGGTCCTGGGATATATAAGAAAGTAGGCTGAACATCTGTCTCCTCGCTTCCATTGGGAAGACCACATTCAAGGTAGGGAGGGACCCAGTGTGTGATGGACACTGGTACTCTGAGGACTAACTTAGGATCTCTGATTGCCTAACTCTCTTGCCTTTCCCCTATCACAGAAGACCCCATTCTAGTGGTACAATCCCAAGGAAAGAACACCTTGCCAGTCACAGCCTGGAGAACATGGCAAACATCACCACATTTGGCATCTTCCAACCACACACAGCCTTTTCTTCTTTTGAGAAATGGTTAAGTCCCTCTAGGAACCTCAGCTCTGCTTGTAGGAATTCCCTACAGCCTCTCCCCCACCCTTCTGTCAATAATCAGGCAAAAGCAGTGGCATCTTCTGCCTCGTGGGGTGGGCCACAGTCCTATGGAGAACAAAGACTAGGCAACCTGATCTATAGTTGTCCTCTGACAATTAACATACACCCTCCCCAGCAGCCACCAGAAATACATTTTCTTTTTAATAATTAATATCATGCAAAGAGGTTGCAAATTAAAAATTTCAAAGAGATTAGCCAAATCCAAAGTTTATTATATCTCAATGAACTTCCTTCCTCCTCCTCCTCCTCCTCCTCCTCCTCCTCCTCCTCCTCTTCTTCTTCTTCTTCCCCTTCTCCTCCTCCTCCTCCTCCTCCTCCTCTTCTTCTCCTTCTCCTTCTTCTTCTTCTTCCCCTTCTCCTTCTCCTCCTTCTCCTTCTCCTTCTCCTTCTCCTTCTTCTTCTTCTCCTCCTCCTCCTCCTCCTCCTCTTCTTCCTCCTCCTCTTCCTCTTCCTCCTCTTCCTCCTCCTCCTCCTCCTCCTCCTTTTGCAACAATGTCTTTTATTAGGCACAGAATTTTAAATGATCTCTTCAATTTCTCCATACACAGGCAAAACTATGTGTGCCGTTTAACTTACTGGAGATTGCCAACTATCTAGAGAAGGACTTTATCCCCAACCTGCTTAACCAGGAGGCCAGTTCATCAGCTGACCCCCAAGAACGTGGAGATGGATATGATAGACAGACTGTCCCCCGTCTGTACCTTCATTCACCACTATCCGATACCCGCACTTCAGGCCCAGATCTGCAGCACATTTCTTGCCAACAATCATTGAATGTCCTAGAAGACTTTCATCATCATCATCTGCTACAGAAATCTGGGATATATGCTTCTTGGGTATCATCGGAAAGCGTGTCATGAAAAGCAAGACACTAGTCATCCTCGAAGACAGTCTCGGCAGGGAATTCTTTGCAGGTGATCTTGCCAAAGATTGTGTCACCACCAGGCTGGGCCACTTGAGCCTTGGCAATCTCATCAGCCATCGTGGCCACTTGCTGTCCTTCTCGAGCTGCCGCTACAGTGGGGACTCAATGAACTTCTATATAGATAATCCAGCTGTTCCACTCTGGGGCATAGACTCAGATAAATCCATATCTTACCACAGAAGTATTTGCATACCAATGTTGACTGTAGCTTTAGTTTCTAGAGTAAAGAAATGGAGCCAAACTAGTTGTTCTCCAACAGAAGAACAGATAATGGAGACCAAATACATATGTAGAATGGACTATTTAGCTCCAAAGAAAACTGAAACCACAAAATTTTTGAGAAAATTAACAATGAATGGACACTTAGGATGTATAATATTAAATGTCATACAATCTCATAAAGGAAAAAGATTTTCATATACAGATCCTAGTGACCATGTGGGTGCACTGTAACATACAGAACAGAGAATAAGAAAGCACAGATGAGGTGATCGGAATGACAGATGTAGGGGGATGGACACACCAGTCATGAAACAGGATATAAAGCTCATTGTTTTCTTATTTTTAATTCTGTCACAGATTTTTCTTTGTTGTGTGGTGGATAAATGCATGACAATATATCTGAGAGTAGAAGGATTGTCAAGTGAGGATATTGTTGATCCTTTGGTCTCAACGAGGATGGGAGGCTATGCCTGGGACCATATCCAATTTCCTATGGTGACTAAGTCAGTTATAAATGGAAAGAGGTTCCCTCACTATCAGATGGTCCTGGCCAGAGAACCTGGTCCCTCAGGAGACACACAGGATCATCATACAAGCACTCAGAGAAGCTGATGGTGCAGTCCACAGGTTATGTTCCTGATAACATCTATTTCAACAGGAGAAGGACACTTGCTGTGAGCATTCCCCCTTGCTGGCCTTCAGCAATGGCCAAAGAATGTTCTAGTCAGCAGGGCCAGCTAAGAGTGGGATTCTGGCTTTCTGGGGGCTCATATTTAATATAGCTCACAATTGATCTGGTTTGAATCCTTCAAAGGCTAACTAAGTGTCTCATAAGCTTACAGTTAGATGAACTGGCAGTGGGTGGGTGTCCTGGTACTTGAGGTTTATATAAACTACTGTTTAGGTTATTTTTAGTTTAAATTAAAGATTACCTGACTGAAAATTCCATGTTATTTTAGGTTTGTGTCCCAGGGCATGTATTATTTCTGGCCATGTTATATTTAACGAAAATGTGTGGCATTAAGGACACAGTCATTTTAACTCTAAATGACTGTGAGTGAGGTTGAGGGCACAGATGGGCCTCATGCCTCATATGCCAGACACAATAATAACTTAATGGCTCTGGATGGATCTTATCTTAAACAAAATACCACACCTCTTCTG